AAAGGCCAAAAAGGCTCAGAGGAGGTCAGAGTGGATGGGGCAGAGGCCTCTAGCTATCCAGGTGAGACCTCTTGCACAGTGTGGGAAGTGGCTGCCCAGGCTGGGGCTTCATTCCCCAGCCCCTTGGCATCTTCACGTATCAGTCAGCGTCACGGCGGGAAGCATGGTACACTCACACTGCATAATTATAGAGGGCTTAATAACAAGACTGTGTAAAAGGAAGCGTGCAGGGTGTAGGGAAAGTATCAAATGATGGGGCAGTTTCCCAGGGCTAGCCACAGAAGGGAGTTGTTGTCACTCCTAAGCCTAAAATTTTCAGGGTAAAGAGCAGTGACACAACTTGGGGAGAATGACCGTATGGAGTGGGCAGTGCACAGAAATGGTGGCTTTTAGTGGAGGCACACAGCAACCTACGGGAGCCAACAAGGAGGGACTAGGGGACATAAATACCTTGATCAAAACTGACTAGAAGCCAGAGGACAAGGGAGCCCATTGGTACACTATGTACAGGCCAGCCTCCTGGCCATAGAGCAGGATGAAGATGGATGGAGAGTGGTAAAAATAAGGGCAGAAAGTCATTCAGAAGCAGCAAGGGACATGTTTGCTATACCACGTGCCTGAGCTCTGGCAACTAATATGGGTAGAAATGATGGGTGCCTTTCCCCGCAGGCGTAGCCCATAAGAGCACCCACCCAAACCTCCATGCTTTCTCTTCCCCCACCTGCTGGCTGGATGTCAACCCCACATGGAAACCACATGAAGAAGACATAGAGCCTCCATCAGCCTGGGTCCCCAAACGGCTTCATGGAGAGGATCCCTCCCCACCCCACCAACCAACGTTTTTGTGACTGAGAAACAAATGTCCATCGTGTTAAGCCACTGAGATTTCATGCTGCAGCTAGCATCTCCCTAACTAATACAGAAGAAGCCCAGTAGTTGGGGCTGGCTTCCTTAGAAGAGGAGCTGGATGTCGACCTGGGCATGTCTCCTGCACTATAAAGTCAGATGACAGCTTAATTTAAAATTGGCTACCCTCACTTGATTCTTTTATTTGTTTCGCAGAACTCATCACCACCTGACATTATAGTCTGTTTTTATTTGTTTGCTTATCTGTCTGGGTGACCAGTATGTTCCCCAGTTTCTAGAATAGTGCCTAGCACATAGTAAGTGCTCAATAAATATTTGTTAAATAAATGAACACATTTTTTTCATTTAAGTTTTCTCAGCAACTTCATGTGGCAAGCAGGGCAGAGGATGCTGTCATTCATTTTACAGGAGTAGAAACTGAGGCTTAGAAGGTTGACTTCACTAAAGGCCCTAGGAAATTAAGGGGGCCTCTGTCTTTTGATTCCTAATCCAGGGCTACATGTGTAGGGTGAGTAGAGAGGCTTTTAACATACCCCTGCCATATGTCCCTGATTTATTAAAGGTCTCATCTAGGTCCCTGTTCAGAAATTTAACTACTCAAGAACAAGGTGATGAGATAATAAGTTATTCCCGCAAAGTGACTGGGAAGATAGGAATTTTAGAAACCCGTGAGCTGCAGGTTGGGGGATGTAGGGGGACGCTATCATTGGACAGGTGGCTATTTGGTGCCCCTCAATTCCACTCCCACCCCTGCTACTTACTCTGCCCCCTGTAGGTGATGAACTCCCCATCCCTGGAGGTATTCAAGTGGAGGCTGGATGTCTACTTACAGAACATGCCTGGGTTGGAGAATTCTACCCACCCTCCAGTGAGAGCAGGCAGTCCGCAGACAGCTCGTCCCTGACACCAACGTGAAGAGGCTTTTGCGCCATCTAGCGGACATGGTTTTAAACTGCAGGCCTTTCCATGGAGAGAGGCCCACAGCCTGTGTCCCCAGAATCCCATTTCCCGAGCATCCTCTCTGACCCCTCAAGGATCGGGAGGCCCACAGCCCCACTGCACCTCCAGACCTCACCCCTCCAAAAGGGAAGGGGGAAAGAGGATCCCTGATTCTCCTGAGGGACACTCTCTCAAGCAGAATTCAACAGCACCATCGTCCCCCACTGTCCCCAATGGGCACGCTTCTCACTGCACCTCTCCCTGGGGACTATGCTAGTGTGCTCATGAGCAACATCTGTTTCCCCCACTTATGTGTGAACTTTCCAAGGCCAGGGCCCTAATCCCTTTGCATGCTCACCACCAGCCCCACCCCATGATATATAGGCAATTAGCTTACAAGGATTTGAGAATTTAAAAAATTCAGATCATAATTTAAATATTTCTTAAATACGCATTTTCTGATTTCAGAACAACCCACTTTAAACTCTGCACTGGAACTTTAGGGTTGTCCCAGCAGTGGCTTAGTTCTGAGGTCCCACTGAATGACCAAAGCCGGGGGATTAGGGAGCCTGACACCCAGCAGATAGACTGGAGCTTGCTCTATAAATGTATGTGTTTTCTGCGTGTCTCTATAAAACTTCTGAGATAACACTTCAGTAGAAAAGGTGGATTAACACCATGGGGAAGGACCAGAGGAAGAAGCCAAGAAAGGCTGTCACTGTGACAAAGACAATGGGTCACTAGCATCAGCCTAGGCTCCTGCAGTAAAAGTGCAAGACACGGCAGGGCCACCAGGAGCGAAGAAAGTGCTAAATCTGGACCTTCCCTGCAAGGGCAAAAGACTTTGTTGGCAAGAATCCACACAATGGAGAAGATGGAGAATAACGGAGCTCGAGCTCATGGGCTCACGCTGTAAATGTCTCCACAGAGAGTTGTATCATTTGTTTCACTAATGAACTTAATATACTCAATATACTCACTTCTTAATATACTCTTGATATACTTAGTTCCTTCATAAGCTATTTTCTGTTGACGGTCATGTAGTCTGGCAAAAAAAAAGAGGACATGACTGGCTACTTTTGCAAACATGAAATATATATTTCACAAATATGAGAATATATCTCCTGCTTTTTAAAATTCTTTGTGAGAAAGTCCATTTTGGCATATATAGTCCTGCCACTTTTCAGGAACCTAACTGTGTTAAAAATAGACTTAAACCCAGAGCCTCACCTCATGCCAGGTACACAGCAGGTTGTTCAATTAGTGCTTATGGGAAAAAGATCTGAATAAATCCCTTTATTCCTGGCATCCAGGGATTCACCCCAGACCAGGGCTTAACATGCCTAGGGAGATGGAGAAAAGGGTAGCGCTCACCCCATGGCCAAGTGGAGAGTTCCAGAATATGGGGATCTGGGGTGGTGAACCTGCCCAAACCTGCTCTCCCAGCCCTGATGGTGCCAGCATTGGGTGAGATTCATTGCCATGGGTTAAGCCACAGTCCCTGGGATATACAGCTGTTGACAACCATCAACACACCAGCAGGCAAATGCCGATGCTGTTACTGCAAATCATGACTTATGACTCCATCCTCTTGTCTAGACTTCTTCATCTTGGACCCACAAGCACAACACCAAGATGGGAAGAAATAAGGCAACACTGGGAGCCAGGAGGCTGGGCTGGGATGAGCTGGTCAAATCGATCTGGATGGTCCCTCTCAGTCCAGTATGGCACTTTGGGCTGAGGAGGTGATAAGAAAAGCCATGACACATGGGTTCATCCCGGAGAAAGTCAAGGAGACGGAACAGTGTCAGAGGGAAGGTGAAAGGGGCTGAAGATTTTCCCACTGAACCCTTTTTCCAAAGCCACCTTCCTGGCAACTTCTGTTGTGCAATGGTCGAGGGCTCCAGACAGGAACAAGCCAGGGGCTTCCCTTCTCATCGGCATCACAGCTTTGAGTGCCAAAGTCTAAGAGTCCTTACCAGCTTCTCCTGAAGTGACTCAGGCCAGCTCAGGCTCAGTCAGAGACAGGGGGACTTCCTGACCTGCTTGGGGCCAGAGGCAGAGGTGGTTTCCTCCTTCTGAGAAAGAAGATGTGGATCCAAGTAGTTCTGTTTTTAAGTGAAAACACTCCCTTCACTTTCTCCCCCATCTTACCTGGGGGTTTGTGAGGGCAGAGGCTCTGTCCCCCTCGGGAGGCCCCAGTCAGTACTTGGGGTTGGGGAGCAGAGAGGAGAAACTGAACCAAAAGGGCAGGGGTGTATTCACGCTTTAGAGCAGGTTTTCGTTTGCAGAGTGTTCTTATCTAACAGAGATAAGTGGTCCTTACAGAGCAAGCAGATACTAAGCAGTTCCCAAGTGTACTGTCTTATTGAAGCTTTCTGGCAACCCCGTGAGGTCAGCTCAGAAGAAACATTCCCTTTTTACAGATGAGAAACCTGAGGCTCCAGAGAGGTGGAGCAACTTGCCCGAGGTCATATAGCAGATACGGGGACAGGAACATAGGATGCCACACGTGCGGGGGAGGGGAGCAATCTTCACTGGTTCATAGTCACAGGGTCATCCAAGAACTGAAAACTGAGGATCAGGGTGTTGCACCAAGTGAAATGAACTGTTCAAAGAAGAGGCCAAGAGCAGAAGGTAGGGCCAGGGCCTCTGCTTCAGAAGTGCCCAAATACACTCAGACAGGCACTGAAAGAAAACAGCGGGTTTGGGAGAGTCCTGCCAGCTCTGCAAGTCTCTGCCTCAGTTTCCTTGTCTTCAAACCTCAGGGGTTTGGTGTGTGACTTAAAGTGAGATAAAACATACATAAGGCCCTTAGCACAAGGCCTGGCACATAGTAAGCACTCAAGAAACAGCAGCTACCTGTATCATCATATTATCATTACTCAGGCTGATAAAGCATGAATCCTTTTTGTTTCATTTCATGCATCAGCCCTCGAAGGGTGGGTTTTTCTGAGCATGCCCCTTTTACAGATGAAAAAAACTAAAGCTCAGTGAGGAACCTCCCATCCCTTCTGTAAATTGAAGGGGTTGGGCTGGTGCCCTATCAGCACCTGGTGACCTCTCCTGAGCTGGGCAGGTACCAAGGGGTAGGGCAGGGAGACAATCTACCTCCTGTGCCCCATTTAGCCCGAGGGCTGCCGTACCCAAAGGATAACAATCCCCCTTCCACACTGTCCTGGATGTGAGACCTTCCAGCTCTCAGCCCTCCTAAGCAGCTTCAAGGCCCAAGACAACAACTGTGATTTCACGAATACAAAATCTGGCTGGGGATCCCTGCTTCCTTGGGAGGAGGGAGAAGGCTGCCTCATGGGAGACTCAGTCTCTGCCTCATGGGTGCCAAGTGCCTGGAGTCCACCAGCCCCTCATGGAGAGACTTCAAGCATCTTGTCATTGAAATCCATTCTGTCCTGCTCCTGGCTCTCGAGCTGCTCCAGGCGGCTGTCCTTGTCCTGGACCATCTTTCCCGGAGTCTTTAGAAATCTGAAATTTAGGCACCAAGGGCAAATCAGCCCCAGCCCCAGCTGCAGGGGGCTTCCAGCCCACCCAACCCTGGCACTACTTCCCCTTTTCACCTTAGCCCCTAGGCTGCTCACCTGAATAGGAGCTTCTGTCCTGGTTCCTTCTTAATGATGTTGAGCTTATAATAGTGGCGCAGAGCACGGGACATCTTCTCATAGGTCATGTTCAACCGGTTCTGAAAGGCAAAGCAGCCCCACATCGGCCCCTACTGCACACCCCACTCCCCCCAGGCTTCATTTTCCGCACCTGGAAGGGAGTAGGTTTCTTAAGCCTCTTAGGCCAGGGTTGTGGAAGGGATTATGAAAGCACTCCTGAGTTTGGGAGGAGAAAGGCAGGGGAAGGTCAGGGAAGAAATAACGGGAAGGTCTCTCACTTACCTGGCTGAGACCAGGGGGTGGAAATGAATTGCGTGTTACTTTTAAATAGTAAATGTCACAAGCAGTAACAAATAAATATATATATATTTGTGGGAAATACAATCAAAGAAACAGCTACGTCACTATGGCCAAGTCTTTTTTTCTCTCTCTCTGCGGGGTAGGCAGTGCGGGGTAGGGACAAAGAGCCTGTGCTTTGGCATCAATTTAAGGTCACACAGCTGCACAAATGTTTTTTACCTCTCTGAGTCTGTTTCCCTGGCTACCTAATGAGAATAAGAACATCCGTCTCACAGGTTTGTTGTGAAGATTACATGAAGGCACTTAGCATAGTCCTTGGTATGTAGTATGTGCTCATTAAATATAATTGCTGCTCTCTGGGCCTCAGTGTCCCTCTCTATACTATATAGGGAGTGGACCAGATAACCGCCCCCAAACTTCAGTCATTTGCATCCTCCCGGCCACCAGCACTGCTGAGAGGCAGCATAACATAGTGGGGCACAGAGCCATGCAGCCTGTGTCACGTCTCTGCTCTGTGCCTTACCGGGGTAAACTCTTGGGCAAGTTGTTAACCCTCTCTGTGCCTCAGTTTCCCCATCCAATAATACCTACTTCACAAGATTGCTGTGAGGATTAAATGAGTTAATACAGGTAAATCCCTCAGAGCAGTTCTTGGCAATCAGATACCATTACATTTTAGGAAATGCTATAAATTGCTAATTATCCCTATTGTTAATAGTTTTCTTTAAAAGACTCTTTTTTTTTTTTTTTTTCTTAAGTGAACTTTTTAAAAATAAAGGATACATTCTTTATATCACCACTGTAAATCATGAGATGGGCATGATAGTCACACATTTTTAATCCTAATTCAAAAATAAATACTTAATTATGAGAATTTGGGGCAAACCACCTAAGATCACCTTGCGGACACCCAGTTAGGTGTGGGCCTTCCTCATCATGGGAACGCTGGCCTCAGTCGTCCCCAGGCGTTTGTAGCCCTGATATCTGGTGCTCCTGTGGGCCTGAGCCCTAACTCCCCCCAGCAAACCAGCTCCCTCATCTGGCCTAACTGTCCCACAGCATCCGCTGTGCAATTCACGTAAACATGCTCTGAAGGGCTAAGCAAGGGTGGGACTAAGCAACTGGACAATTCCTGAGTCTCAGCGACATTCCCATCCATAAGAGGTAACTGCCTGCACTTCAGTATCTCCCAAAACAAAATGATCCTGGCACTTTTAGGGCTGCTGGTGAAGGTACCATCAGTGGAGGACTGTCCCTGAGTGTGGAGGGGTCCACTCTGAACCCCGCTCTGTCCTCTTCTAGATATGTTGAGACCATGCCGCCTGCTGGCTGAGGTTCACCTTGTGATTTCCCCAGAGTCTGGCGAGACCATTTGGATCCACAACTCGAAAGATCTTGGCGTCCTTGTCTTCCCACCTGATGTAGGGCTTGTACCTGGTGTCAAGGAGCAGCTGGTACACATAATCCCACAGCAGCCGGCAGTCTGCAATTTGGCACAGAGGGTGCAGACGGCATTACTGGAGCTGTGAGGACAGGCATTAGAAAGGTGCTCTCAGGGACCTCGAGACCAGGGCCCTGTGAGCACCAGCAGGATGGTGAAGATGATGGTACTAAACGCAACAGCCACTATGGGGCTCCTTACCCACTGTCCCATTCAGCCCCCATCCCTCTAGGAAGTGGCTACCTTTGTCCCCAAGAAGAGATGAGGAAACAGGCCCCGAGAGGTACGGATGTGTCCAAAGTCACCGAGCTCCTAAGTGGCAGCACAGCAGAGTCTAACCCTCCCCTGCCCAACACCAAAGCCAGTACTGCTTCATGTGAGGGCAGACGGTGGGCCCACAGGCCGGTGGCCCATCACTCAGCCCCCTGGACTTCTGTTCATTGTAATGTCCATCCTCTCAAGCCCCCTCATGTTGAGGCTCAGGAAAACCAAACGTGCCATTAGGGAGAGCAAGTAGGCACAGGGAATCAAGCAGCAACTGCGTGATCTTAAATCGCAGTACCTGGGCCTCTGGCTCAGTCATTTCAGTCATTTCAGGCATGTTACCCAACCTCTTCTGAGCCATGGCTTCCTTGTAGGGGGTGGTGTGAGGATTAAGTAACAAAGGAGACCAAAAATCCCTTAGTACAAGTGCCTAGTATACAGTAAGTGCTCAAAGAATGTTAAGCATTACAATGAAAAAGACCTAATAATTGTGTTTTTAGTGACTTCCAGTCATTTCCAACCTAGAAGCCAGGCTTCTGCTCCTCTGTGATGTCTTAGAATAAAAGCAGTAGTCCCACCATGGCTAGAAAACTCCCTTTGGAAAGGCAGGCAGCTTGTCTGTCAGCCTGTCTGATTGTCCATCTGTTTAACAATGAATGTAGAGTGAAAGTGTATCACTTGGTTAGTGCCTGGGTTTACATCCCAATTCCACCACTTAGTGCTGTGTGATCTTGGGGGAGTCACTTAACCTCTCTGTGCCTCAATTTCCTTATTTGTGAAATGAGGCTAATAATAGTATCAACCTCAAAGGGCTATTGTGGGGTTAAATAAGGACCTTGGACGTGCCTGGCAAATAGTAAGTGCTCAACTATTTACAAATAAATAGAGTTTTAAAGGGTGGGGGGAGGGGCCTACTCCATGCTAATCTGAGTGTCTATGATTGGCTAAATTGTCCCTGCCCTGGAGACCGGGTGGGCTTGACAATCCTGGGCAACACTGCCCACTGTAGCTAGATTGTCACCAGCACACAGGACAGTCACTCTACCTCCCCCATCCTCCTCATCTCCAAGGCCAAAACAACCCTGGTCCTTATCACTTGTGACCCCTCTGAGACTCAGCCTCAACACACCTCTCCCAGGCCAAGGGAACACAGCTTCCTACTCACCAGCAATCCTGCCGTCGATGGGGGCCTGTGGCATCACGGGGAAGGAGCAGACCCCCTTCGTCCTGCAGCCAAGCTCTGCACAGTGAGATAAGGTGAAGGACTCTTCCCTGCCAAGGGGCCACCTGGCCGGGCTGGGGGCATCCAGGTGGCTGAAGGAGCTGGCAAGCCCTGGGTCTGGTGGCTGCTGCAGAAGGCCCCTTTGGGAGGCTGTCTGAGAGGGCCCAGTCTCCTCCCCCAGCACATGAGCATGTTGATTCTGTGGGCCCAGAACCTCCCCCACCCCAGAGCCCTCCATGGCATGCCCGGGAGCCCTGTGGGGCAGTACTCCTAATGCTCTTCCTCCATCCAGCTCCTGGTTAGAAGGTCAGGGAGGCAGTGGAGGGCAGTGGGTGAGGACCAGACAACCTAGGGACTAACCCCAGCTCCCAGACAAGTAACTGAACCTCTCAAACCTGTTCTCTCATCTGTAAAATTGGTTGCAAAGCCAAGCAGTGATAGAGCCAGTTCTAGAACCCAGATGTCCTGTGTGTGGTGTCTTCTGCATTTACCCAATTGAGTATTTATTGGGTAACTTTCTATGAGCAAGGCATTGTTCTAAGAATCTTGAGGCTATATCACTGAACCCAAAAAAGCCCTGCCCTCGTGGAGCTTATATTCTAGTGTTGGGGGACAGGTGAATTAGCTGATTAAAATAAAAAAGAAAATAGAAATAGTATACAACATAGGAGAAAAAAATAAAGCACCATAATGCAGACGGGGAAATCTAGAAAACGAGCAGGGGTTGCAATTCGAGAGAGGCTGGTGAGGGAAGGCCTCACTGACATGTTAGCGTTTGAGCAGAGACCTGAAGGAGGTGGGGGAGGGGCTACTAAGTGTCTAGAGCAGAGAGGAGGACTGCAGCTTTGACTCAGTGAGAAGTGAGCCCCCGGAAGGTTTCGAGCAGAGAAGCGACATGTCCGGCCTTATGACTCTCTCTGGCCGCTCTGTTGAGAACAAATTGTAGGAGGTCAATAGCAGAAGCAAGGAGACCAGTGAGCAGGTTCCCCAGAGGTGATGGGAGCTGGACCGGCAGCAGTGGGGGTGTGAGAACTGGTTGGATTCCGAATAAAATCTGAAAGTAGAGCTGACAGGATCTGTTGACAGGTGGGATGAGGGTGGGAGAGAGAGGGGGGAGTCAAAGATGAAGTCCAGCGTTTCGGTCTGAGCAAGTCAGAGAGGGTGGAGCGGGTTGGCTGGGATGGAAAAGCCTGGGAGGGGGGCTGGGGAGTGGGAGGGGCAGGACATCCAGCATTTGGTTTAGGGCCTGTTGGGGTTGAGATGCCCAGGAGACATCCCAGGGGAGGTGTGGGACAGGCAGCGTGGGGTGCACACGTCTGGAATTTGGAGAGGTCGGGGTGTTTGGGCATCATCGGCACAAGATGGTGTTTAACACCCAAGACTGGATGATCGCCCAGGGCCTGAGTGAAGATAGAGAAGAGGAGAGGTCCCCTGCCCTGGGTAGAGGTAGGGAGAAGAGGAGAAAACAGAAAAGGAGATCGAGGGGTGACCGGTGGGGTAGGAGGGAATCTGGGAAGTGGGGTGTCCTGGAAGGCAAGGAAAGAAAGAGCTTTGGGGGGAGGGCTGAAGGCTGAGAGAGGTCACAGTGAATAAGGACTGAGTGTGGACACAGACATCCCTATGTTCAAGTCCCTGGGGACCTGACAGGTGCGGTTTCCATGGAGAGATCAGGAGGAGAGGGAACAGAGACATGATAAAAACAACTCTTTGCTGGAGAGGAGAGCAGAGAAATGGGAAGTGTGTGGCAAGGCCTCTGGGCCTGAGCCCTGCAGCACCCAGGGCTGCCAGTGTCCCCAGGGCAGGAGGTGAGGGCCAGGAGGCAAGGCTGGGAGGTGAGGGGGAGCTCAGCCCACATCCCACCTCTTCCATTACTTTGCCTTGAGGGACCCCGCCCTCCCAATGAGGCCAATTTGAGGGAGGGGCTCAGAGCTCCATGAAGAGCCTCCTCACCTTCCAGGGGGCTGGGAGAGTGCTGGGTGGGCATCTTCCACCTGAAGCCCCCTCCAGAAAAAGGCCCACATACCAGGGCTCGCCGTTGGGTCTTGATGTACTGGAGCAGCTCATACAGGACATCACCTGGAGGTGGTGAGTAGGAGGGCAGGCTGGTGACCAGGGGAGGTGGGGAGGGCCAGCCTCATTCCCCTGCCATCCCTGCCTCTCAGGGGGAGGGCTGGCATGTCCTGTCCCAAGCTTCATGCTCTTGCTGCAGCTAATAGGAAGCTGGAACTGGTGACATGCAGGGCCAGTGTCACCCCAATGGTGGGTTAATTTTTAAAAAGGCATCCCTTTCTAGTGGTGGATGCAGCTTGCAAAGTCAGGCTGCTTCTCAGAGCCACCCCCATCCCAACCCCTGCCTGTGGGCCTGTGTGCAGTGCACAAAGTCTACAACTGTACCTCATGTCCCTTCTTCTAAGACCGATGAGATTCCCCAAGATTTATAAAAGGCTGCCCCTGCCTTCTCAAGAGCAAAACAGTCGTAGCCTCCTCCTACAAGGCAGGAATTGGGCCCTGTGCATGGTCCCAGAAATTTCCCTTGATCACACCTTTGGGCTAAGGTGCTGATGGTAGGGCAGGAAAGAGGGGGGATCCCTGGGTAGAGAGATGTCCTGGGGATCCCAGGAAGCCAGAGGGGTAAGATGTAGGCAATGGGCACTCGAAGACCAAGGGTGCTTGTAGGAAGCAGGAGAGGCAGACACAGGCATGATGGAGAACAGACCCATGCTCGCCTGCTTCCCAGCTTTGCCTCTGCCCAGGACTGTCACGCTGGGGGGGACTGGGGAGCCTCGCCTCACTGTCTCTGCCTTCCCCCCCACCTCTCACCAGAGCTTTTAAATGCAGGGGCTTAAGTCCCAACAGCCAGTGGAGGAGGCTCACAGGGGAAAGTGTGAGATAAAACTCAGAATGTGGAGACTGGCTGTGGGTATGTTTGAAGAAAAGGAGTAAATCAGAATATTTAGGAAAATCTCTTTGCCACATACACTGTGGACTCGCTTGGCCAAATGAAAGGCTACGTGGAAAACATGAGTGTTCTTAAGAAAAAGATACCAAATCAGCACAGCCACAAAGACCCACCTGAAAATAGATAGGCCAAGCGAGAATCAGGTATGATTCCAGAGATTCCTGGAAGGCTCTGCTGCCTGCCACCGCTTGCCTCCTGCCCCCCCACCCCTACCCCCCAGTACTTCCCCACCCACCTCTGGGCTGCCTGAAACACCGTCACTGGACACTCATTCATTCCTTTGACCTCAGACCTAGCTTCTGGTTAAAATCAAAACTCATACTGAGAGGAAGGCTTTTGCTGTCTTTAGTCATTTATGCCTCAGTGTGAATGAATATTGGACCTTTCTCTAGCTGTTTTCTTCAAATAGGTGCATGCACAAGAGGGTAGAAATGGGTAGGGGAGACAAGAGCCACAGGTCAGTGGAGGGGAAAGAGAGCAGAATGGGCTCCTGCGGCTCTGAAAACAAGCCCCCAAATTGCTGCGGGCCTGCTCTCGCTAGGAACCCCAAGCAAACGTGCATGGAGGTGCCGGGAGGTGAGCGCGGTTCCCCAGGGACGGCCCCTGATCTCTCTTCCTGGGCCCCTGGGGGGCACTTGGGCTACCCTGGCCTCCCAGGGTTCCCACCAGAATGCTCTAGAGTGAAGGCAATGAGTTTCCCTGACCTGAGCCGGGCGCGCGGTGCCGGAAGTCGTCCTTGGTGAGGATGCACAGGGCGCGGCCGTTCATCTCGAAGCCGTGCTCCCGGGTGCGCCGCAGACAGTACTCCCGCTCCGCCCAGCGCAGCCAGTGCAGCACGTCCTCTCTGCTCCAGAGCGCGGGCTGGAGGCCTGCAACCGCAGGACACGGGCTGGGGGCAGGCCGGCTCCCCAGGCAGTCTCTCGTCACTCCCGCTTCAGGTCCTCGCACACATGTCACCCCCTCGGAGAAGCCCACCCTGAACACTCCATCTAAGCAGATCCTCTCCGGTCCTGTCCCCAACCTCCATCATCTTCTCTGTCACTGTGTCCTGTTCTCTTCCTTCCTGGCACCTTACTTTCTTTGTAATTACATTTTATATTTGATAGAATTATATGTTCGTGTTAATCATTATATATGTATTATGTATGTATTCACTTATTTATTGTTGGTATGCCCTCCCCTTGCCTGTGTTCCAATCATTCATTCAATAAATGCTTAATGAGGGCCGACCATGTGCCAGGCACTGGACTGGGTGTGATGGGGCACACTGGGGCACCTAGAACAGTGCCTGGAACACAGTAGGTGCTCAATAACCACGTGTTGAATGATTGCTTGAATGAACTGTCCTTTGAAAAGTTGTTATTGTTACTGTTTTCCAAATAAGGAAATGAGGCTCCCAGAAGTTAAGTAACCAGCCCAAGGTCACACAGGTACCATGAGGTACAGCCAGGCCCAGACCCCAGCTGTGTCTGGCTGTCACACTTTTCTGCTCCACTGTGCCAACTCAGAACTGGGTTTGCTCAGGTAACAGCCAGGAGGACAAGGAAGTCTCCTACACCCAACTTCAGTTCCTGTGTTCTTATCTCTGACAATACTCAGACAAGGGGTTGTTTCCTTTTATTCTCCCTACATTCCCACTCTGCCTAGGCCTGTTATGCTCCTAATGCTAATTATATATTTCATTAATTTAGGTTGCATTTAGCAGGGCCACGTTATGATTTTTGTGGGACCCTTCCTCCATTAAAAAATACATATTTAAAATGTGTCATGACTACATTGGTATAAAGACTCAGAGCTCCTTGAGTTCAGTTTTACAGGTAGGAAAGCTGAGATGGAAGAGAGAAGCCACTGTCGAAGGCCACACCTTGGCAGTGACAAAGCCTCAACCAACCTCTGACTGCCTCATACTCAAAACAGCACAAAAAATAAAATTAAGTTTAACACTTAAAAAAAAGATCTGCATCATTCACTTCTTCACTCATTCAGCCAATATCTAATGAGCACCAGCCACTGGCAGGAGGGAGGGACCCCACAACCGATATCTGTCTAATGACATCCTTAATCAGCAGCACAAAGGGAAGGCAGAAAGCAAGGAAAGGCAGCCCAGTTTGGGAGTAAGGAGAGGTTTCCCTTATTTTTATTTTGGGACCTAAGAGTGAATAAGGAGGAAGAATAAATGCATGAAACTGCCCAAAAAATCATTTGAGGGAAAAAAATAGAGATGAGGAACCAGCCTTTGTGATACTCCATACCATAAAGCCACATAATTAAGATCTAATGGTCTTAAGCTAAAATTGATAAGTATCACTGGAAAAGAAGAGGGAGCACAGGAGTAAGTAGGTGTGCATGCACTTGTACACGTGTGTGCATGTGTCTGTGTGTAAAGTTAATACATGAAAGAGGTGGGATTTTAACTCAGTGGGAAAATATAGTTAATGTAAGATATGGTAAAAACACAACTGGCTCTCCACCAGGAAAAAAATGTATTTGGACCTTCACCTCCCATCATTCACAAAAATTAATTTCAGGTAGATTAAAAGACTAAAGAATAGAACAATACAAATCATGATAGAAGTAGAAATAGAAAGTCATATGCACTAAATAGGGGTAGGGAAAGCCTCAAGCATGACAGGAAACTCAGAGGCTATAATAAAAATGAAAGACTCATTTGACTACAATAAATTTTTTCGTATGTAGCAAAAGATACCATAAACAAAACTAAAAGAGGATAGATTTCAGGGAAATATTTGCAATGCAGATGGTAAAGGGCTAATGCCTATCATAGGTCAAGAGCATCTCTACATAGATTATTTAAAAGACAAAAAAAAAATCTTAACCAACAATTTACAGTGGAGCAAGGTTTCTCAACCTTGGCACTATTGACACTCACTCTGGGCTCGATAATTCTTGTTGTTGGGCTGTCCTGTGCATTGTAGGATGTTTAGCCCCATCCTTGGTCTCTACTCATTTGATGCCAGCCCAATTGGAGCAACCAAAAATGTCTCCAGACATCACCTAATATTCCCAGGGGGAGAGGAGGGGCAAAATCACTGCCAGGTGAGAACCCCTGCAGGACAGCAAATCCACGTATAAACATGTGACAAGATGTGTCACCTCCAAAGTCAGGGAAAGACACAATCAGAAAAGAGATATATTTTAATGATAATTCCTACATCTGGCAGGAGTGCAGAGAAAAGGATAAATTGCCAGTGGAAATGGGAATTTAGAGCCTCCATGGGAAATCAGACTGGTGACACACAACAGAGACACAAAAAGCCAAATCCTGTAAAGTGCAGAGATGGCATGTTAATAACATTTGTGAGGTGTCAAGGGCAGGCCTCCACAGCCAGCCATGGCTTCTGGGGCTAGAGGGCCAACTGACAATTGCATTTCATCTGAACTCACATTTTTTGCTGGGTTTCCTAGTTCATGATATTTGAGGCTGTCCACCTGAAAATTCAAAACTATGATTCCTGAGTCAGAGGGGCATGTTTTCTTGGGTTTGGCTAGAGGGTGGGGGTGTATTTCACAACCATCTGGCTGTCCCACCTCCCTAAAAACATTAAAACTTTGCAGACATTATTAAGCACAGATGTGGTCCTGCTCCCCAGGTCCAGAGAGATTGTCAGGGGACTTCCCCAGATGTCTCTGAGGGACCCTGAGGTCACCCACAGCCCACAGCAGCACCTGGAAACTTGAAGCCTGTCATCATTTCTCTTTCATTACCTCATGCTCATTCCTACAGCACCTTTCATACCATTGTTAACAACACCTCCTGTCCAATGATAAAGAAAAGGGACTTCCTTGTTCCCCATGTCTTTAAAAAACGTTAAGGTCAAAAGGCTTTTCGGACAGGACATGAGCCCCTAGGAAATGACCAGGTCCCAAGTAGTGGGTCAGCCACCAAAGTCTCAATCAAGCCCAGCAGCAGGTCAAAGTCTCTCACACTGGTTGAATTGCTACTCCCTGGATCAGCCACCTAGCTCTGGGCCAAATCCCCAAGCTCAAGGTCCAGGCTCCAACTCACCTAGCCAAGTCGCCTCAGACAAGCCTCTCAACTTCTGTAAGCCTGTATGTCCCCCTCTGTGAAATGGAATAATAATACTGCCTCTCTGGGCTGCCGTGCCCTTTGAGGGGCAGTGTGGTGCAGTGGCGAGGAGCCCAGGCTACATACCGTACCACCCAGCATTGCCACTCCTAGGTAAAGACCCAAGACATATGGTGAACACATCCACCAAAAGACACGCATGCAAATATCCGTAGTGGCTTCGTTCATAAGAGAAAAGAACTGAAAACATCCCAAATATCCATCAGCCAGAGAATGGACAATCAAATTGTTATGTTTTCATGCAATGGACTGCTGCTCAGCAATAAAACAGAAAGTACAAATGACTGCTCCACACAACACATGGATAAAGGTCAAAGACATTATTTTGAGGGGGAAAAACCAGACATAAAACTACAATCAAGAAAGAATACAGGGGGCCGGCCTGTGGCTCACTCGGGAGAGCGTGGTGCTGATAACACCAAGGCCACGGGGTCGGATCCCATATAGGGATGGCCGGTTCGCTCACTGGCTGAGCGTGGTGCTGACAACACCAAGTCAAGGGTTAAGATCCCCTTACCGGTCATCTTTAAAAAAAAAAAAAAGATTACAGATGCTAATGTTGGGGCTCAGAGGCTGTTTCCCCAAAATATGGTGCTTTGACATGCTGGAATAAAGAAGCAGCTTCATGGTCTCTGACCTTCTCCACCCGCCCCCTCCACACCAGTCCCTCAATCCTGTCACTCTCCAAAGCACAGGGTGAAGCTTTTCCCTCATCTGCCTAAAGCCCAGACCCACCAATGAAGAAGACAAAGACCTCTGGTCCTTCCCTAGAGTTTTCATTAATTCATATCACAGGAGGAAAAACTGAAGACTGTCAATGAGCCTGGACAGAATTTTGTCACAGACCATTTTTTTCTATGTTGATCCTATTCAGTATTTTGAAGTTCATTTACCAGTCATTGCTCTGCAGGCCAAATAGGTTTTGTCCCAGGCCATTGTATGTTCTCCAGGTCTGTTGCGTCCCCCTAAAAATCATCTACTCCTACACCCCCCCACCTCCCCTTTTCTTATGAAAATTGGTATAGAAGCTTCTGTTCTCCACTGGAAAAGTGGGAGGTTACTCTCTTGTGATTCCCCTATGCATTGCCCCCTCCCAGCACGTTAAAGTAATAAAATTTATTATTCCTTTTCTTTATGTTAATCTGTGTATCTGTTGATTTTTCAGAGAACCTTCAGGGGGTTGAAGGGCATGTTTTCCCTTGGCCCTTACACTAATCTCCGGAGAAAAATAAGACTAGTGGCCACTCTTTAAAAGGGGAATTGACTGGAAAGAAGCACGAGGGAACTTCCCGGGGTGCTGGAAATGTTCTAGATCTTTTTTTTTTTTTTTTTTCCTTTTTGTCTTTTTTCGTGACCAGTAACGGGATCCAACCCCGGTCTCTATATGGGATCCGAACCCTCGGTGGGAGCACCACCGCACTCCCAAGCACCGCACTCTACCGAGTGCACCACCGGGCTGGCCCGAAATGTTCTAGATCTTGATCTAGGTGGTGATTACACGGTTGAACTTATGCATAAAATTCATGAAGCTGTGCGCCTAAGATCTGTATACTTGGCTGTATATAAATTAGACCTCAAAAAAAGCAAAAGTAAAAACATACAACAGCAACAAAAAGTAGATGGTGGTGCCAGGCCAGCTGTAAACGATGTGACCTAAATGACTGTGTCTCAGTTTCCTCATCTGTAAAATAAGGATGATGACAAAAACCGTACTGGCTACACAGGGCTGTCATGAGGATGCTATGAGATAATCAGTGTAAATGGCATGTGGGATGGGCTTTCTGAGATAAATGAAGCTATTAATGTCAGATGAGACAACACATGTAAAATGCCTGGCACAGGGCCCAGCACACCCCAGAGCTCAATAAATGCTGGCAAGTGTTGTCTTAGGCGTCTCCTACCCCCACGAAGTCTCCCTGACCTAGCTACCAGGATGAGCCTAACTGGGAATCCCCTTACCAGTCTAACCAAATTAAACCTCTGGGGCTTCACCTGCACACCAGCCCATGGCTTCTCCCTCTCTCAGCAATAATCCACTGTGTTTTCAGTTCCTTCACGTTAACCATCTTTGTCTCTCAAGATTCCAGCCAGATGTCACCTTACTCTCCCTCCCCAGTGGCCTGCTCACTGGTGATTTCCAGCTCCCGAGACAGATCTGGACAGAGCCCCTGGCTGGGGCAGCCAGGGGAGCTGCCTGTCCAGGATATAGCTGGAGGGCTCACGTGTCTCCCCGAAGAGCCAACACTGTGTCCCGCTCCCACCCCAGAGCAGGGCTGGATGTGGAGGCTCCCCTCCCCTTTCTCCACTGCCCTTATCACAGGAAATACTACTTCTCCATTTAGTCACTGCACCCCCTACTAGAATGTCAGCTCTATGAGGTGCAGACTTTGCCTGTCTGTCACTGTGGTTTCTCCAGCACCTAGAGCAATGCCTGGCACATAGCAGATGCTCAATAAACATAAATTGCCTAACTAAGTGGCAGCTGCATCCCTTCATAGTTCCTGACTGACCCCAGACTTGGGCAGACCCTCATGGCCATGGACCAGGCACGAGGAGTAAGAATCCCCTTTCATTCCCCACCTACAAACAGGGAAGCATTGTTGTGAATCTCCTTTTCTGAGTAGGGGGACACCCTGCTGGAGTCCTCATGGACCCCCTCCTCCATCCTAGCCCACCTCCTGTCACTTGCCACACCCCCAGACATTCCCATTGTCCTCGGAGTGGACTTTCTCCTGAGCTACTGCACATCTTTGTTTGTCAGCAAATAAACACAGAAAGATGAGACCTACAGTAAAATAGCTTGTGTGTTCCACTTAGCGCCAAGTCACAAAGCTAAGCAAGACTCGTTTTGTTTGTTCACCTTCCTGCTGAGGCAAATCAGTCCTGATTATTAGATTGGAAGGAAGCTGGAAGTGGAGGAGGGAATGGGGTAGGCAACTGGGAATAAGTGTCAGAGAGATGCCCAGAGATGGAATCCAATTTCCAGAAATGTGAGAACCAGGGGCTGATATCACCCCAGCCATTTGAAGAGTCAGGCCCTCATTTGGTATCAGCAGTTTGCTTATTTGGGATGTGGTTGACAAGAAAATGAGTCATTTAGCATACCCTATCATTGAAGATTGTTAAATATTTACTAAGGGCCCGAACTGTATTGTCTGAATATTTTCTGAAATTTCAATAAATATGAGTCATGAAATTTAAGATAACAGATATAGAGGACGCTGTTGGTGCCCTGCCCATAACCCTTGGCTCTCACGTCTGTCCTTGGCAGGCTGCCTAATGCCGGCACCTGACTCTGCCTGGGGACTTCTTCTGGCTGCAGAAGCCCCCTCAGCCAGTGCACAGGGTAACTTGGAAATGCTGGAGATTCAAGACCCCTGGAAACAGCCTTCATCCCATCATGGCTGGGGAGTGGATACGGCCCCAGCGTCCCTACCCCGTGGTTGGGATAACTCAGGCGTGCTGCGCACTGCTGCCAGAGATCCCCGTTGGGATTGAGCTCCAGTTGCCTACAATGCTAATGGGCCCCAGAGAACACTTTTTGGATTTCCTTCTCTTTTCTTTCTTCCCCACTCCTCATCAGTATTTCAGGGTCTGCTTCTGTGAAAATCTAACCCCAGGAGTTCTAATCTAGGAGAAAATTGGCCAAAATAACCTGCACCCTGAGTTGTGCAACCAGGGAACAGGCTGCCCCAAGAGGGGAGGAAGTTCTGTCACTAGAAATGTGCAGAAGACCTGGTGACCATCTCAGAGGAGCCCCACTGAAGGGGTCCTGAATTGGTTGGAGGTTCTGGCACCCTTGATGAAGACCCCTAGGCACTCATTCATTCGTTCAACAAATATTTAGTGACCTCCTGAGCTTGGGAAGTTTGCTCTTATGGAAATATGACTTCCCAGTGTTCCAAGGAGGATTATAGATCTTGTGTTTGAACTTCATATTAGGAAATGTTTCTTAAAAGTTGTGTTAAAATTTCCATCATTATGTCTTTAGTTGATAGATAGGTGTGTATCTTAACATCAGATCAAGTACTTTTTTAAGCAAGGTTCAGAGAAAACAAGAACTCCAGAAGTTTTTTCTCAAAGCATCTGAAAGTGTAATCACAGTGGATACATTCTAGTCTTGAACTCCTACAGTCTTACCAACTCTTACCCCATCTCTTGCCTCAGATCTGACCCCATCATCACCTTCCAGGCTCACCTTCAGCCTCACCCCTCCCCCACATCCCCAATGAACACAGCTGGTTCTCCATGACAAACACATGATCTAAAGAAACACAATCTTCAAAAAATTAGAAGGCTTGCATATTTGTGTTTACCAAGGTGATGACTAAACTTTCTAAATCCTCCCTTCTCCGGTATCCTCTCACCCTGTCACTTTGAGCTAGGCACGCAGCAGAAGGAAGCGGACTGAAGATCACATGACCTTGGGCAGAACACAGCCTCCAGGGCCTCGGTTTCCTTATTTGGAATTCGAGGGAGTTACCTGAGGTGACATCTAGGGTCTCTACCAACGACATTCTAGGACTTAGTGAGTTGGACAAACAGCAGAGAGTCCTTGTAGAGTTCCTGCCCCTCTCCCCAACTCACACTGCCGCTTTGCTCCACCACTGCTCTGCTGGCACAGGGCCTCCACCTCGCTAGTCTCCCTCCAGAGCTGCTCCTGGTGAGTCACCCCAAGATTATCCCCCAGACTGGATGATTTCCACCACTTAGAAAGTGCATTTAACATTCTTTTAGAAGATTATCAGCAGGACCAAGGTTTGGCCTTAGCATCCGTCAAGAGCCTGTGTGATCTTCAGCATGTCACTTAGCTTTTCCAATTCTTGGTTTTGCCATTTGAAACATAGGCATAAATACATTAATTTACAGCCTGTTCCAAGGTTATGGATTTCCCTGGGTAAACATCACTTAGGAAAAGGAAATAAGAGGAGATGGTCAACGTTTCCCATGATTATCTTTGGGTGCACTTGGATGTTCAGTATATTTTCCTTATGCTCCTCTGTCATCTCCCAATTTTTGACAGTAAGTACGTGCTACTTTTGTAACTATAAAAATTAAATATAATTATTTAAGAGAGGGCTCTACATATATACAACTATTAACTATTTAGCCCCGTCCAGCTTCCTCACTGGTAATGTCCCCAACTCTTTGTCTTTAGGCTGGAAGGGACCCAATAGCTCATTCAATCCCTACCCTCATCTTACCAGTGAGGAGACCGCTCGCCTCACTTTTGGCTGCGTCAGCTGTAGACCTTCTCTGACTTCCTTACCAAGGAAAAGTTAAAGAAAACCCAGCAAGGAAATAGCAAAGGGAGGAAAGGTGATTCCTTAAATAAGAACAGTCTGTACATCACATTTATGTCCTTTAAAAAAATTAACTTTTCCATTTGGGATAACATGGATGGATGAACCTGGAGGACATTATGCTAAGTAAAATAAGCCAGGCACAGAAAGACAAACACCACATGTTCTCACTTACGTGTGGAATCTAAAACAATCGAACTCACAGAAGCAGAGAATCAAATGGTGGTTACCGGAGGCTGGGGGTCAGGGGAATGGGGAATGTCGATCAAAGGTACAAAGTTGCAGTGAGACAGGAGGAAAAAATAATAGGTCTTTTAAGTGATGGATATGTGAATTTGCTTGATTAAATCATTCCACACTGCATACACATATATCATAACATCACTTTGTACTCCATATTATATGTGATTGTAATTCATAGTTTATCAATAAAGAATTAATTTAAAAAACATCAGCTCTGGGCCGGCCCGGTGGCGCACTGCGCTAGTGCGCCGCTTGGGAAGCGCGGCGGCGCTCCCGCCGAGGGTTCGGATCCCATATACAGACCGGTTCCCGCTCACTGGCTGAGCGAGGCGCGGGGGCAACACCGAGGGTTGCGATCCCGTTGCCGGTCCCGGTCCGGTACGGGGGTGACACTGAGGGTTGCGATCCGTTGCCGGACACGGAAAAAAGACAAAAAAAAAAAAAAAAAAAAAAAAAAAAAAACCC